TTTGGGTCAAAGGAGGTTCTACCTCTTGGTTGTTCTGGTTCTGTTGGTTTTTACTTTGGACTCTGACCTTTAAGGAGGCGTTGCGTTATTATTGGTACCAATCAGGTTCTGCTCATGAGAGCAGAGCAGAGAACACTGATAATCCATCAGAACCAGAACATCTGCTGAAGGTTGGAGTCCAGAAGAACTAATATTTTCTACCACAGTATGAATGTCACCGATTCTGCTGGTTCTGAAGAGAGAGAACCAGATGGACCCTATGGTTCCTGCCCGTCTCGGACCGCTGTGTTTCTCTCCCCGTCCATTCAGGCTGGAATAGTTCCCAGACTAAAATCCAGTTCTTCCAGTAATCCTCCCAGTTCCTTCTCCCAACACTTAAAGCCCTTTCTACAAGGAGGAAACCAACCCTGGGAGGTTCTGGGAGGTTTTGGGAGGTTCTGGGGGATTTTGGGAGGTTCTGGGAGGTTCTGGGAGGTTTTGGGAGGTTCTGGAGGGTTCTGGGAGGTTCTGGGAGGTTCTGTCAGTCTCCCTGTTCTGCAGAACCATGGCAGCTCTTCTACTTGCTCTGGTTTTGGACACAGACGGTTCTGATCCAATGAGTTCAGAACCTGTGGTGGCTGATCTTAGTTGAGCCCAAAGAACCGCTGCCTGGTGCCCATTCCTCCTTCAGCTTTCGGATCAGGACCTCCAGCTGTGTTCTGGAAGCTTTTGGGCCGGTGGAGGAAGTGGTTCCGGTCGTTTCCGGACCTTTCTGCAGGGACGTGTTCAGGCTGAGCCTCCTGCTGCGGCTCTCAGCTTTGCATCTTATTTGGATGCTGAAAAACACAAATGACCTGCAGAAGTTTTCAGGGTGGAACCAGAAGTTCTGAGCAGCGGCTAACAGGCCCGTCTGGAAGGAGACTCCAGGTCCAGCTGTGGGCCCGGTCCACTCCAGCTGTTTTTATTTTTAATTCTTCACAAACTGAGCGAATATTTAAATCCTAATGATGCTGCGTTTCTCCTAAAACATCTAGTCCAGCCATGTTCCGCCCACCTTCAGAGTCAAGCGTTTCTATTGGTCCAACCGACAGGAAGTGAGGAGCTCCTTCATAATAACAAGTTAGATTTATTATAAGAAATGTACATTTGATTATGATTATGAAAAAAAGGACAGGGGGGGGGGGGCAAATTTGACTCTATTTCTATAGCTCCAATTCACATCATGTCATCTGAGGTCACTTTATAGATCTAGATCATCCAGTCAGATTGATTCAAAGTTTTCTATCTAAGGAAAACCAGCTGATTGCATCGACTCATTGACTCTTCAGCAATCCCTCACACTAAGCATGCTTGTAGCGACAGTGGAGAGGAAAAACTCCCTTTGAACAGGAAGAAACCTCCAGCAGAACCAGGCTCAGTGTGAGCGGCCATCTGCTGAGGCCCACTGGGGTTCAAGGAGACAGAAGCAGACATAGAAAAAGAAGCATAGATACAAAAGGCAACTGTCAACCAGCTCCACAGGCGGCCCCGTCCAGGAAACACACAGCCAGGCAGACGAGCTCCGAGCCAGCTCCCATGTCAGAGGATGAAGAGAGCACATCCAGTTAGTCACAGTCAGAGAAACAGGACTACACTGGAAAACAGGCCAAGCTCCAACATCTAGAAACAAAGGTGTTGATGGCAGCAGCACAGCTGATATTTCTCTCCAGGATGGAGTCACAGCCAAACAGGAACAGACCAGATGAAGCTACTATGAGAAAAAGCAGAGAGAGCAGAACGTTAGAGATTGAACTAACAGATTCTGCAGAGTGGGAGAATAGAGATAGAATGAAGCAGAATGATGAAAAAGGGGTCCCTATGTCCTCCAGCAGTCTAAGCCTATAGCAGCAGAACTATAGAGATAGCTCATCTGCTCCAATGTTACATAAGGTTCTGTTTGTCCCTTACTGCTGTGGTGCCAGGACTCCAACCGGACCCACGGATCAACAGAACATCCTAGAACAGCGGAGCTAGATCCGCTGTTCCCGACGTGGAACTGGAAGAGCTGCTGGCGCTGAAGCTCCGACATGTTCAGACGGGTCCGCATTCTTCTGGTTCCCTGACAGGTGCAGGAACACCTCAGCTGACGACCCGACAGGTTTAACGCCCCGGAGGCACGGCGCCGCCGTTACAGAAACTCCATCAGGAGGGAGCGGAACCCGCTGCGACCTGCCAGTTCTGGTTCTGACCCGAAACTAAACGAACCAGTGGTTCTGATGGTTGATCCCTTCGATCAGCCGACCTGCCAGAGAAACCAGACATGATCCGGACCGAAGCGGGTCGGTTCCTGTTGGTTCGGGTCTGGAGGAAATCCTGCTTCCTCCTGGACAGGGCCCGGCCCGCCAGATGGTTCTGTTGGAGCTATGAATAGCCCTCAGGGCGGATCAGAAACCTTCAAACGACCCGTTCTGCTCCGACCCGTTTACTGGAACAGTAGAACCACCTCCTGGACCCAAATGGGATCGTTCAGTCCATCGGGTCTGCGTTCAGCGGTGCGGTGCCGAACCGCTGAACGCAGACACTGGTTCCAATCAGATCAGGTGGTTCTGGTGTTTGTCCTGCTGGTTCTGATCCAAACACAGAATATGGATCCATCGTTAAACGAAAGGTTTCAGTTCAAGTTCCTCCAGAACCGGATCCCATCAGTACCGACAGAACATCCCACAGGAACCTGCGGCCCAGAGACGTCCAGAACCAAATGGATCAGGCCTCTGCAGCCCAACAGAACCAGCCAGAATGTTCTGGACCCGGAGAGGTCCGCTGGTGACAGATGTTCTGCTTGTTTCGGTTCTGGTCGCTTTCTTCCGGTTCATTAAACAGGTTCTACAGTCAGAACCTGCTACCGGTTCTGGTCCAGAAACCGGAATATTCTGTGAATTTCTGCTCAGTTTTCCTCCAGTGGTTCTTGGTGGGTTCTGGTTCTGGGATCTGGACCTTAGCTTCAAGGAGTCAGAACCGGTTCCAACCGGTTCCTCCTCTGCAGACGAACTTCTGGGTTTTTCAGAACTTTGAGGAAAACAAGCAGCTGATTAGAAACGTCTGGACTGGAAATGGTTCTGATCCGAGATGAAACGGTGGTTCTGTTCTGGTTCTGGTGTCGTTTTATATTCATTCAAATTGTTTCCAAAATTCTGCAGAACTTTTCTTTTTCTGAATCAATTTACTTTAAAAACCGGGTTCTTCCAGAACCGTCTAAGTGGGTCAGTTTGATCCTGAAGGTCAGACTCTGCAGGAAGGAGGCGGGGTCAGAACGGGCCGGTTCCCCTCCCTGTCGGTCTGCAGGGAATCCCGGTCGACCATCTGTTGACCCGCTTTAACGACCGGACCAGTTGTTCTCACAGCAGCGACCCGGTGGAACCATTTGGCGCCGGTCGGCCTCCAGCTGAGCGGCTGCTGGATGTTGACTGAGACCAGTTCTGGTTCTGGTTCTGCTTTCTGGTGTTTAAGCTGCGGTTCTGGTGCCGTTTGTGTGGTTCTGTTGATCCGAGCGGATCCGGGTCTCACGGGTCAGAACAGGAGGATCTGGGAACTCTTTCTGGAGCTTTATTGATCCCTGCTGCTGACGGGGTCAGAGGTCAGAGTTTAGGGTCGGGCTCAGAACGGCGCCACAGAACCAGCCGGCGTCTCCCTGAGAGACAGAGCAGCTGGATCATCGGGTTCTGGATGGATGGCAGAACCAGTCAAAGCGGGTTTATGGGCCAGCCTCCGGTCTCTGTCGGCCGGACCGGACCGAGCTCTAAGGTCCGGTTCTGCTGCAGGAACAGAAGGTTCTGGGCAGGTCCAACAGTTATCACCCGCTCAGAACCCAGACCCCCAGTGTCAGGCTCAGGGTGGGAGCTGCTGTTGGGTCTCTAGCTCCGCCCTCTTCTGGTTCTGGATCCTCGTGATTCTCCTCATGCAGCAGGAAGCAGGAAAACAGCAGGATTTATTCCAGAAACATTCCAGTCTAGAGCTGCAACTAACGATTATTTAGCAAATCCATTAATCTGTCGATTATTTTTCCGATTTATCAATTAATAATTGGACGGCCGAAGGTTCCTTAAAGAGGACTTTAATGAAATTAAACCAGCTGAAACTAAAACTTTCCCACTGGAGGATAGAGCAGATTAATAGATGAAAATGTTTTTTTCATCTTAAATGCAAAATGTTTACAATTTTTTTTAAAATCTTGTTTACAATTCCTGCTCTAAGTGGGTCGCTCTGTCAGCTAATGGCATATTTTACAATCTCTATACTCCAGTTAACAATTAAATTATTTAAATTCAGTTTATTTCTATAGCTCCAATTCACATCATGTCATCTCAGGTCGTTTTACAATTTAACCGGATCATCCAGTCCTCCAGCAGTCTAAGCCTATAGCAGCAGAAATTCAGAAAATATCTCAGGATAAATTAAGTATTTTAGATGAGGTATAAGAAAGGTAGAACCGACTCGATTACTAAATTAGTTGATGATTATTTCAATAATCAATTAATCCAGTTCACTGTTTCAGCCCTATTCTCATGCATGAAGCTTGTTTGGCATCCAACCTGTAGGAATCTCCTGGTATTGCTGAAGGTTGGACAGAGATTGGATGAACTAGAATGAGAGGAAGTCCTTATATGGGTAAAGGTACCAATGGGTTTTAAACCTTGTTGTTTAGGCTTGGAGCAGCTTTGAAGTGAAGGAACCAGCAAAAAACCACATTAAAAATGTGTTGAATGATGGTTTGGGTCCAGGTTGGCCCTGGTTCTGTTGGGCGGGGCATGATGGGGTTAATATTGACTCTGTAGCGGTTTGCTCCCAGAGCTGAAGTGGATCAGAAAGAGAAACTCTGGTTGGTTTCAGTCAGAATCCGGATCGGGGAACATCAAATCATCAGAACTCATCGTTCAGAGGTTTGGACCTCCTGCTCCAGGTGGTTCTGCTGTCTTAAAGCTCCATGTCTCCTCTGTCTCAGGTCTGGACGACTGTCTGCAGCAGTACATCCCGTCCTTCCAGCAGCAGCAGGTGGACGGCGAGAAGCTGCTGAGGATGAGCCACCAGGAGCTGCTGGCGCTGGGCATGGCGCGGGTCGGACACCAGGAGCTGCTTCTGGAGGCTGTGGACCTGCTCTGCTCTCTGGTTGGTACCGTGTGTGTGTGATGAAGATGAGGATGAAGATGAGGATGGTGGAAGAGCTGAGAATCAGCAGAGTTCTGATCCAGTTGATCC